CCGTGCCTCCTCCACCAGGACTGACTTCTCCTGTCTCTGTGTGTTCATGGCAACCCTGAGGCCCTCCTCCTCCAAGAAGCCCTCTTACTCTCTCTGAAAGCATTTCTGCCTTCTCTGAATACCCTCGTCTGAACCCCTCCTGGGCAGGCTTCCCTCCTGCTGCTGAGTCCAGTTCTGCACGTGCGTCTCTCTGCTGGGCCGTAGCTATTTCAGGGCCAGCCCTGACCCAGCTCGTGTGTGTCCGACTTTCCCCCAGGGCCAAGAACAAGGTCGCACACATGGCAGTTGGTGCCAGTTGATTCTGATGAGCTAGGTGGGGGTTTGCAGGGTGGATGAATTACTAAAGTAGCTAAAATCTGCGAAAAACTAGATGGGACAGTTTGCTTGTTATCTTCCTAAATCTCCCCTCAAAAAAAAAAAAAAAAAAAAAAAAGAAAAGAAACCCTGAGAAAAGGCTAGGGCCATCAGTGCCAACTTGCAGACTAGAAAGGGAGGTGGGGAAGGCTGAAACACAGAAATATCAGCTGAGATGTTTTTCAAAACAATTATACACAGAAACACCACCACCACCACAAGACAGATGATCAATCACCAGAAATGATGAGGAACCCTGAAAGATACCTGGTTTGCCAAAAAGCAGCCTAGGAGAGGGAGGAGGAGTGGGGCTGGAGGGGCAGGGGATGCAGCCTCTGCCCGGCTCTCTCAAAGCAGCCAGCGGCAGAGAACTTTGCCAAGGGCAGGGTCAGCCTGCCTCTGGGCACACAGGCCATCATCCCAACAGGTGAGACCTCGTCGTGTGTCGAGGACAGGATGGAGAGCCGGCCTCTGGCCACAGACTCACTTGACCTCTCTCCGCTCTGGCTAGGAAAGTTCCGACAACTCCAACTTCCTGATCAAGCTGTAGCCAGATACCAAGTGTACAAAGTGGGCCCTTCATAGCCCTGTGGCCTCTTTCTCAAACTGCTGACTCACGGGGTGAGCTCAGAGCGCTTGGCTCACAGCCTTTTGGGAGGAAGAGAGTGACTGGCAGCACAGGAAGACACGTAGCTAGTCACACACTGGAGCGGCCTGCAGCTCCCCCAAGCCAGCGCTCTGGCCAAGACAGCCTGAGCTGATGCCAGGTCCGGGCACTGAGCTCCGTCAGTGCCAGGGAGGGGGGGGCATAGTCCCCAAGTGCCTCTCCTATTTCCTCCCCTACCAGCGTACAATGACCAAGGCACTGGCCAGCCCCGTCGGCCTACACAGCTGCTTGGTCCTTGCCTTATAGAGACTGGGCTCACCTATGGTGGCTGGAAGGTGCATCGTGGCAGCAGCCTGGGAGGTGAAGGCGCTGAAACACAGAACAGGAGTGTCAAGGCCCAGGGAGTAGCAAAGCGGGGCCCCTGCCATGCCAGTCACCCACACACATACTCAGCCTGGACCATCCCCGGGCTCCAACCCACAAGGGTACCTCGGAACTCCATGTGGTGCTCAACAGGACACTCAGCCACTCATGTGGCAAGAGGCCCCAATCTCTGTTTCTATGTCCCACTGCAGGAAATGGGACCAGAGAAGTGGGAACTCCTACTCCAGAAACCAGGCGAGGACACAGGGGAGGCTGATGAGGAACCACCAGGTAACCCCAGTTTGCCTCGAGCCTTTCCCATTAACATGCAGCCCAGGGAGGGTCTGGGTGGAAGTGGGTCTGACTCAACCAGCAGCGCAGCCAAGCTACCACTCAGTGGCACTGGTGACCACACCGTTTTTGACTCCCCACCATGGTCCCTCCTTTCCACCAATGTCCACGTGCTCCTCACCGCTTCCGAAGCTCCGTGTCATCTCTGAGCCTGGCTTGGCTGGCAGACAGCAAGCTCTGCAAGAACACTCTCGCCTCCTTCCAGGCAGCCTGCCCCAGGCCCATGAAGCTGTTGAGAGTTGACTAGAACCAAAACAGGGACAAAGAACATCATGAGTGGGAGGGAAAAGCCCTGAAGGTCCCCTCCTGCTGGCCTGCCAAGGTCCCTGTGTCTCTCTCTGTTCTCTCAGATCTCAGGACCCCCCCCCCCTCTCAGTTTTGTCGTCTACCCGTCAAGCTGGAGAAGGGCACCCCCTTCTGGATGCTGCTTGAATACACTCTCCAAAGCCCAGGCACTGCTGTCTGGGCCAGCCTGTGCTTGCAGGCAGCTATGCTCTGCCAATGGAAGTGCTCTCCAGGCAGCAGGAGCCCAGTAGCCTACACCAATCCCCTCTGCTAAAGTTAAGAAGGGGGTTCTGGGGCCAGCAGGTGGCACAGTAGTTAAGGGACTAGACTCCCACATAGCTGACCGCAGTTCGAGTTCCAGAACCAAGAGCTTGAAACTCTTGACAGGTGCAAGTGCATGTGTGCCCAAAATCCCAAGAAGAGAATGGATGAGAAGGGATTAAGACGTCATCCCCCACCCCGGGGAGGCGGGTGATTTCTTGCTTCCCATTTCTCTGTCTCTCCAGCAAGCACATGTGCTCTATAGCAAAAATCTTTACAAAAAAAAAGGGGGGGGGGCCTTTGCAGTGAAGCCCAGCAGAACAAGCATTTGCAGATTGTAAGGGCTAGAGTCCCTGCCCTAGCTCTAAAATTTGTAGCACAGTGACCTGGGATTATTGTGTCTTGTCTCAGATGCTGAGATCCCCACCCATCTCGTGGTGAGTCTGATTCCTATGCCAGAGGGTCCCTGGGGAGACTGAAGGAGAAGACGTGTGTAATGCTCATGGCACGTGGTGTGTGTGGGGGGCACTCTCCTTCCTGACCACGCAACAGGAAGATGCACACTGAAAGTACCTAGTCCCATCTGCAGGGAAGTAAATTCATGTCCAATCCCAGGCCTTGGACAGGCAGAGGCTCAAACAGCTTCATGAGGAAAATAACCAGAAGTTCTGAAGGTCATCATCTCAGAGGTGACTGGGAAAGGCCCAGGGCCACCTCCTGTCAGGCTGCTGTCTCAGAACAGTCCAGCTTTAGAAAGGGAGCACCTCTGAGACCTCGGAAGGCACAGGCTGCCTCTGTTGAAAATGAGAGGCAAAGAGCCTTGCCTGGTGGATTTGCACCGAGTGCCGCTGAGATCGGGGACAAGCCACGTTGCAAGGTCCTACCTGATCGAAGACATCCTGGTGTTTGGAGAGCACAGGCCCGGTGAAGAGGTGCTTAACAACACTGAGGTCCAGGACCTGGTCGCCAATGGCCACGCCAATCCTAGGCCTCGGCTGGGAGAAAGATGGCATGGTCAGCACTAAGAGAGCCATGGGTGGGCATGGCTCAGTTCTTAGAAAGCCTGTCTATTCAGAAGCCCATGCATCCCCCTTCACATGGCCCTCTGCGCGAAGGGACTGAGGAACTGGGTCCTCAGCATCTCACCCAGCTCTCTTAGCCGCCCGATGCGCTAAACTTCCCTTTGTATCTCTGCCAAGGCAGGACCTGGTGCCATCTCTCCTTCTGGGAAAAAGGCAAAAAGCACCTATGGGACCAGCAGATGGCATAATGGTTATGTAGTCAACCATGGCTTGAGGCCTGGACCCAGTGGTTTAAAACTCATGCTGGGCGTACATGCCCAAAATCCCAAGAGGAGAATGGAGAAGGGACTGAAGCACGGTCATCCCCCCTGGGGGCGATTTCTCACTTTCTATCTGTCTGTCTGTGTGTCTCTCTGGCTAGCACATGCACCCTATAACAAAAATCTCTTTCAAAAAAAAAAAAGCACCTATGTTCCCTGAATGGAAAAGAAATAATGCCCCTTGGAATGGGAGAGGAGAGGTAGCCTGGTCTACTCTCCTTTATCCAGGTTAGGTATCCAGTCAAGTTCTCTAGGCATTGCTTCAACTCCTCCAGTGAAGAGCTCACCAGCTTACCAGGCAGTTGGGTTCCACCTTGGTTGAATGGAGGCCCTTGGTCAGGAAGATTCCTGTGTGCAGCAGAGCAGTGAGTGAGGGCCAGGGGCTTTGGAATAAGCTGTGCCATGCTTGAAATGGAGGAAGAGCTCAGCTCATGAAAGAGGTCCACAAAACCAGACCATGCAGAATGTGCACCGTAAAACCCCAGCCTCAGCTACACAGGCAGCAGGGACGCTGATGCACGGTGCTGGAAGCCATACGGGAAGGCTCTGGGTTCACACCTGGGTCTACCCCAACATACCAATGTGCCCACAGGCATGCCCAGATGTAGCTAGCTCTAAGGCTGTGAGGAGGATTGTGGTGTACAGACCGTGTCGAGCACACCTCTTACTCTCTTTTGAGATAAACTACAAAAATCCTACTGGGGCTGGCAGGTGGCATTAGCAGTTGAGGCAGTAAACTCACACAGCTTACTATGGATCAGATCCCAGACCTGGAGGCTTGAAACTTACACTGGGCACATGTGCATATGTGCCCAAAGTCCTGGACAACAGAGAAGAGACTGCAGCGTGGCCATTCCCCCTGCCCCTGGTGTGGGGATGATTCTTGCGTCTTGTCTGTCTCTCTAGCAAGTGCACATGCCCTAGAGCAAAAAATCTCTCTAGAAAAATAAGATCCTACCATCAGCTCTAATATGTCGTGAATGTTGGGAAAGCCTGGTCTTTGTCCCCAGCCCTGAGCTTTGCCCATCAACAAGGAACTAGAAAGTACGTTTGCAGACTCCACCTCTTGGGTGCCTTCCTAAGTTGCATCCACTCCTGAACCACTAGCATTGCCACCCACTTACAGGGAGCTTAGAGGTGGGGTTATTGGCCGACCTGTCTCCATGAGAGGGCCAACAGCACAAGGCCGTTTCTCCACGCATGTCAACTGTTCTGACTGGGATGGCCAAGAGCTATGCCTCACCTGGCCCTGAGGCCCCAGTCGAAGCCTGGCCAGGAGGAGGCTGCCTGGAGAGCCCAGATAACTCTGATGCTGAAGTGCAGAGGGAGTGCATTCAGAGAGGGATGCGGCTCTTAAGAGACAGCATTTAAGCTGAGTCCTGCAGAGTGACAAGGAAATAGAGAGCAGGATTCCAGATAGAAAGAATAGCATGTACTAAAGCCCTGAGGCAAGATACTACTCACAGCACGTCTCAGAGATGGAACGGCAGCAGCGTGGGTGGACAAGAGCCCAGGAGGCAGCCGCAGGCTCAGACCACAGAGCCTTAACATGGCACTGGGCACCTTGGCTCCAGGAGACTACAGTCCCATTTCTCAAAGGCTGCCACTCTTGCCTTCACAGAGAGCTCCATTAGATGTTCTGCTAATCCACAGTAACCAGGGATGGAGAGAGGGTGTCTCCTGTCTTTAAGCCCCAACTCCCAGCCCAGGCTCTGGCCTAGAGCTGGAGTTTGTAAACACTCACTGAAGACAGGCACAGTGGTAATGCAACACTAGCCCACAGGGAAGGGTACCAGGTTTACTGGGCACTCACATCCCGGGGATAGGGTCACTGCAAGGGGACCCAATGGGGGTGCACTCTTTGTCTTACTAACAGATGAAATAAACTTTTTTTTTTTTAAAGAAAAGGATGAATGAGTGATGGTTAGATTAATTCATTATTATCCCACTCAAATTATGAAGGACTGGCTGCTGACAGGAGAAAGACAGACATTGCCTTGGCAACCAGACCAACCTAGAGAGGCATTTCGTGGTGGAACATCCAATGCCTGCAGTGAAGGCTTCAGGGGAAGCCTGTTCAGTTGGAAGGCCTTGAGCCTTTTGTAAGGCTAAATGGGCCAACTTCTTGCCCCCCCCCCAACACTCTTATCAGAAAGGCAGTGGAGGCGACCAAAAAATGGCATAATGGTTATGTCGCTGGACTCCCACACAGTCAACTGTGGTTCAAATCCCGGACCCAGTGGCATAAAACTCACACTGGGCACGTGTACATGTGTGTCCAAAATCCCAGGAAGAGAATGGAGGAAAGGGGACTGCAGTGTGGCCATCCCCCATGTGGGGGTGACTTCTTGCTCTCTGTCTCTCCAGTGAGTGCATGCGCTCTATGACAAAAAATCTCTCTGGGGGAAAAACAAAAGCGGCAGTGAGAAGGACATCTTTCAGATGTCCCCAGTGGCTACCTCTCCCACATTCCAGTATCAACTCAGCCGGGTATGGTATCTGAAGGCCCCTAGCCACACTCCAAGGGGCATTAATTCCTGATTTTCCTGGGAAAGTAACTGGGAGTCTTTCCTACCAGGACAGCCCTGCTTCTCCCAAATGTTTCTGCCTAATCCATGTGTGCTCACAGAAAGGAGAGGACACCCCTGCTGAGGGCAAAGTATCAGAAGGCAGGGGAGGGCTCTGTCAGCAGAGTACATGGTTGGCTGACACAGGTCAAGGTTTAACAGGCCCCGTGTTCGCCTCCTCCAGGGGATGAGTGTTAGCTTCTGTGTCCTTGCAACATCTCATCAGGCTGCCAGTTGTGAAACAAGTGGACTCTTCTAGGCGAAGGTATTCTCCACAGGCGGGCCCCCAGAAGAGCAATGACCTGCCATGGGAGAAGGGCGCCTCTTTCCAGGAAGAGGCCACTGCCAGTGCTTCTATTTAACCAACACTTTCTCAATATTATTAGGTACAAGGAGATTTCGGGCTTCTCTGGTTCACAGAACTGAACGGACAGTTGACCTTTAACGCTGGAAGCACAAATCCAACCCGAAACAACCACAGACAAACCCAAAGGAGGCTGCTTCCCCCCTTTAGGGATCCTTATTACATATTCGTTGATAAGCCCCCATATTTTTGGAAGATTTCTTTCTACCGAACAAACTACACTTGCTATATCAAAATTCATTTTTCTGCCCCAAAGGGCTTTTTCTGACCGGCAAGGGAAGGCCAAGGAGCTCCTCACACAAGCTGAAAGAATTTCACTAGAGGAAACCAGACATTTGAGTTCCAGAGCTCTCGGCCAAGAAATACACACTCCCCTCTGAGCCACTAAAATACCAATGTTACAGGGTTAATTCGCAGTGCCCGGGGTTCTAGAGTTAGGGGCACCAGCAAGCGGAGGGACCAGTGCCTGGGGCAGGGAGGGAGGAGCAGGAAGCAAAAGCCAGCAACTTCAGAGCAGGCAGCGTGTGTGCTGAGCTTCTCGGAAACAACTGTGCCTGCTCTGGCTGGCTGGGAGGGCGGTTACACATGCATTTCATTATGCATTGTGCAGTGAACAGTCCCGTGACTGCGGAGACGGAGGTGAGAGGGTAAAGAAAGGTACAGCCAGGAGGATTCAGACCCTTGTGCACACTTCCACCACGGGCTCTCCAAAAGAAACAGGGCCCTTGCCTCAGTCCCGCCCCCAGCCCTCCACTGCACTCGGCCCCAGCCTGGAGACCAGGAGACCCAGTGCAGCTGCTCACGTTGTCTTTGGTGGAGAAGACGCCGTAGGGCAGGTTTTGGATGGGGAAGTCCGAATCCTTGGCCACCGGGATGAAGGACATGCTGGCAAGCACCGGGAAAGGCTGCGAGCAGAGGGAGAGCAGGA